TGCCACGTACAGCAATAGTGTGTGCATCCAGACGACCTCCCACAACATGCTTCACAGCAACACACATTCCCACCCTTTAAAGAATAATTACATAAGCTCAAAAAGGGAATTTCCCCAGTGTAGGATGGAGCTGTCTCATTCTCAAGTAGCCCTCACTGGCCCAGCTATCGGAGCATACTTTTGTTTTGCAATAAACTATTTTGCCTACTTTTACTTTAGATTTGCTCTCAAATTTTTTTTTTTTTTGAGACGAAGTTTCACTCTTGTTACCCAGGCTGGAGTGCAATGGCACAATCTCGGCTCACCGCAACCTCCGCCTCCTGGGTTCAGGCAATTCTCCTGCCTCAGCCTCCTGAGTAGCTGGGATTACAGGCACGCGCCACCATGCCCAGCTAATTTTTTGTATTTTTAGTAGGGATGGGGTTTCACCATGTTGACCAGGATGGTCTTGATCTCTTGACCTCGTGATCCACCTGCCTCGGCCTCCCAAAGTGCTGGGATTACAGGCTTCAGCCACCCCGCCCGGCCTCTCAAATTCTTTAGTGCACTAAAGTCAAGAACTTGAACCAGCCCTCCAACAACACAATGGAGCTATCACAGCTCACTCCAGCTTCATTCTCCCTGGCTCAAGTGATTCCCTCACCTAAGCCTCCCGAGTAGCTGGGACTACAAATGTGCACACCATTGCGTCTGGCTATTTTACAAAATTTTTTAGTAGAGGCATGGTCTTGCTATGTTGCTCAGGTCTTACGTTGCCCAGGCTGGTCTTGAACTCATGAGCTCAAGAACTCCTCCAGCCCTGGCCTTCCAAATTGCTGGGATTATAGGCATGAGCCACTGTGTCTGGCCAAAATATGTATTTCAAAAAAGACTGACTCTGATACATTGTTGTGGTTTAAATGGGTCCATTTATTTTGGAAAACTGAGTTGCTTACCCTGTGACTCAGCAGTTCTATTCTTGACTATCTATCCAAGAGAAACTAGTGCAGTTTTATTAATAGCCTAAACCTAGAAACAAATGTTCATTAGCCAGAAAATACTGATACATTCAGTGATTCAAATTATAGATATGTTGAGCTAAAGAAACCAAACGAAAGAGTACATACATGGCTGGGTATGGTGGCTCAAACCTGTAATCCCAGCCCTCTGGGAGGCCAGGAGTCCAAGACCAGCCTGGGCAACATAGTTAGAGTCCCCCATCGCTACAAAAAAATTTAAAAATTAGCCAGGTGTAATGGCATTCACCTGTACTACTAGCTACTCAGTTGGCTGAGCCCAGAAATTTGAGGTTACAGTGAGCTATTTTTGTACTCCAGCCTGGGCAACAGAGCAAGAGGGTGTCTCTTTTTGAGTAAGGAGTCTCACCATGTTGCCCAGGCTGGTCTCCAACTTCTGGCCTAAAGCTATACACTGGCCTTAGTCTGTCTTTTTTTTTTTTTTTTTAAAAAAAAGGAGCTGTGCTTGGTTGCTCATGCCCTGTAATTCCAACACTTTGGGAAGCTGAGGTGGGCGGATGGCATGAGCTGAGGAGTTTGAGACCAGCCTGGGCAACATGGAGAGAACTCATCTCTACAAAAAAAAAAAAAAAAAAAAAAATTAGCTGGGCATGGTGGCATGTGCCTGTAGTCCCAGCTACTTGTGGGGGTGAGGCAGGGGTTATCACCTGAGCTCAGGAGGTCAAGGGTGCAGTGACCCAAGATAGCACCATTGCACTCTAGCCTGGATGACAGAGACTCTCTCTCAAAAAATGTACACTGAGTCCATTTTCATGAAATTCGTGAAAGGACAATACTTTCACGAATAATGAATGGTGATTTTGTCAGAGTAGTGCTCACTTCCATAGCAGTGACAGTAATTTATGAACTTGTACACTTAAGATTAGTGCACTTTTCAGCACCAATTTTTTAAAAAGCTGTGGTTAAAATCTGCCATTTCTATTTCAACCTGTTTTTTTTTTTTTGAGGCGGAGCCTCACTCTGTCACCCAGGCTGGAGTCCAGCGGTGTGATCTCAGCTCACTGCAATCTCCACCTCCTGGGTTCAAGCGATTCTCCTGCTTCAGTCTCCCAAACAGCTGGGACTATGGGCATGTGCCACCATGCCTGGCTAATTTTTCTATTTTCAGTAGAGACGGGGTTTCGCCATGTTGGCCAAGCTGGTCTCAAACTCCTGACCTCAGGTAATCCACCCGTCTTAGCCTCAAAGTGCTGTGATTACAGGGAGCCACCACACCTGCCCTCAACCATTTTAAAGAGTACAATTCAGTGGCATTAGGTATATGCACAACGTTATGCAACCACCACCACTTTCCATTTCCAGAAACTTTTTTTTTTTTGGAGACGCAGTTTCGCTCTTGTTACTCAGGCTGGAGTGCAATGGCACGATCTCGGCTCACCGCAACCTCCGCCTCCTGGGTTCAGGCAATTCTCCTGCCTCAGCCTCCTGAGTAGCTGGGATTACAGGCACACACCACCATGCCCAGCTAATTTTTTGTATTTTTAGTAGAGACGGGGTTTCACCATGTTGACCAGGATGGTCTCGATCTCTTGACCTCGTGATCCACCCGCCTCGGCCTCCCAAAGTGCTGGTATTACAGGCTTGAGCCACCGCGCCCGGTCAATCCAGAAACTTTTTTATCATCCCAAAGAGAAACTCCCCTCCCCTCCTGCTCAGTCCCTGGTAATTTCTATTTTGGATGACTTTGCCTACTCTACTTATGTCACATTAGTGTTTCGGTGTACTTTAAAGCCAGATTGGCGAGAAAAAAAATGCGAAGTAAACAGATTCTTGGTATTTTTGGCTGTGAATACAGTGTATATGGTAGCTAGAGGGTGAGGTTTTTGGCTGTTTTAAGACGGTTGTAATTTGAGCTTAAGAGTCAAGGTTGAGAGTTCCAGGTCAGAAGGAAGTTGAATATCTGAGGTCTGCAAAGGCATGGGAAGACCAGTGACTGTTTTGAGGTAGGAGGAGACACTGGAATAGAAGTTGGGGGCAAGGTTATGAAGGGAATCTTTTCCCAGGATAAGTTTTAAACTTTAGTAGTATCACCACCAGGATTTGAGTACCTTTGCCAGGCACTGGGTTAGGTGCTGGACATAATTCTGTTTTATAATAACCCAGCAAGACAGGTATTAGTGGCATGAACTTAAGTTTGTTCACATCAGGTTTTTGTTTTGTTTCGTTTTGTTTTTTAAGACAAAGTCTTGCTCTGTTGCCCAGGCTGGAGTGCAATGGTGTAATCTCAGCTCACTGCAATCTCTGCCTCCTGGTTTCAAGCAATTCTCCTGCCTTGGCCTCCCGTATAGCTGGGACTACAGGTGCCTGCTACCATGCTATTATTGTTTGTATTTTTAGTAGAGTCAGGGTGTCACCATACTGGCCAGGCTGGTCTTGAACTCGACCTACTGATCCACCCACCTCGGCCTCCCAAAGTGCTGTGATTACAGGCACAAATCATCACCTCGCCTGTTCATATAAGTTTTACTGGTATAAACTTAGTTTGAGAGAATTGGCCAAAGACCAGTTTTTAGCGGATAGGCTCAAAACATTCGAGACATAACCAACTTTGTGGATGTCTGTGTGGGAAGGCAAACAATTTTGGCCCTTTAGCTCGGGTTGGGGTGTTATTGGCTTCACCGTGTGGCTCTGTGCAGCCTTAAAGATGCTGAAGGATGGGGGTGGGAGGGTTTGGTGAAGAAATTAAGAGGTGCAGAAGGAACCGGAGATGGCCAAAGCCAAAATTAGCCTAGTTTAATTAAGAAAAAATTGCCGGGCGCGGTGGCTCAAGCCTGTAATCCCAGCACTTTGGGAGGCCGAGGTGGGTGGATCACAAGGTCAAGAGATCGAGACCATCCTGGTCAACATTGTGAAACCCCGTCTCTACGAAAAATACAAAAAATTAGCTGGGCATGGTGGTGCGTGCCTGTAATCCCAGCTACTCAGGAGGCTCAGACAGGAGAATTGCCTGAACCCAGGAGGCGGAGGTTGCGGTGAGCCGAGATCACACCATTGCACTCCAGCCTGGGTAACAAGAGTGAAACTCCGTCTCAAAAAAAAAAAAAGAAAAAAAAAGAAAAAATTTGGCCATCCCTTTGGTAAACCAGTGGGGAGGCCTGTCATGGACTTCAGGCCATGAACTAAAGGATGAATGGGACCAGACCTAAGACTGGCTGTGTAAAGCCAACATTAGGCAGATAACCATGCTTAAGAGTGCAGAGAGCTAGGCGCAGTGGCTCATGCCTGTAATCCCAGCATTCCGGTAGGCCAAGGAGGGCAGATCACTTGGAAGTCAGAACTTCGAGACTAGCCTGGCCAACATGGCAAAACCTCATCTCTACTAAAAATACAAAAATGGCTGGGTGTGGTAGCACACACCTATAATCCCAGCACTTTGGGAGGCTGAGGCAGGCAGATCACTTGACCTCAGGAGTTAGAGATGAGCCTGGCCAACACGGTGAAACCCCATCTTTCCTAAAAAACAAAAATTAGCTGGGTATGGTAGGGGAGGTGCCTGTAATCCCAGCTACTCAGGAGGCTGAGGCAGGAGAATCCCTTGAACCCAGGCAGCAGAGGTTGTAGTGAGATGAGATCGCGCCACTGGTACTCCAGCCTGAGTGACAGAGTAAGCGAGACTCCGTCTGGAGGAAAACAAGCAAGCAAACAAACAAACAAACAAACAAACAAAAGACTCTGGTCTCAGGAGTTGTTGTAAAAAAAAAAAGAAGAAAAAAATGAACAAAAAGAAAAAAAAAGAGTACAGGGAGAACACAGGCAGCAAGTGACCACAGACCTGGTGAAACCACTGCAACAAATGGGTAACACTCTCAGGAGACTAGCCAATGCTCCTGGGAAACAGGGACTAGCCACAGCGCTCTTAAAGCATGGAAGAAAAATATTCTAGATTAAGTCAGAATATCTTGGACTTGTTAACTTAGTTCAATAATGATCAACTGACATATATAGGTTAAAAGGCTATTTTCATTCCTCAATATTAGAGTCACAATATTTTAGAAGTATTTATTTTTTAAGTAGAACTTAAAAAAAAGGAAGTAATTTATATTTAGAAAGCTCCAAGGTGTATTGTTTCACGTAGGTGTTATTACTACCAATACTTTCACCCCATTTGTTAAGCCCAAAACACTTCAAGCAACTTTAAGTTCATAAATTAATAAGGAAGCAAAGACCCCAACCAGGATTAGACAGAATGTGTTCCAGGTTTAGAAGGGGACAGCATGGCTCAATGATGTCTCCCATGGAACACTTGGGCTCTACTGTAATGAAGATTTTCTTCCCGAAAATCTGAATGTGACATTTTAGATCCTCACGTTGGTGGTGGTTAGTAGTCTCCCGATTCTAATCGTGTGCTAGAATCAAGTGGTTGCCTAGAAGGTCAATCCAAGCTCCTAGGTGCCCCCACTCTTATAGGCCTCAATTATCCACCTGTGAGGCTCAGGAGGGCTGACCAACCTAAAGGTTGAGAAAACTTGCTTAAATGAGGAATAGTCATTTCAGCATAAACGGTACTTAATTCTAGTGTAGAAACGGTTTTCATTCTGGAGATGGTGAGTCCCAGAAGATCATGGCCAAGAAGATGTCTTAAGTGGCTTCCTCTGAGAGTTTATGCCCAAGAGGGAGCCATGTGGCCACTTGCTTCTTCTTACATTTCTAATAGCTGTTCCATTTCCTTAAGGGCTGCTATTAAATCATTTACTTGATTGTTATATATGGTTCGCTGTTCTAGGAATCGGACTCTTTCTTCTTTCATCTCCAACTTTACCTTTAAGGCCTGCATGGAAAGACATTCCAAAAGAAAACAACACATACACAAAACTCTTGACTAACAGGCAACACAATACCCACACCAGAACATTATAGTTCTATTCCACTGAGGAAGACCACTGGAATATCAACAAAGACTGTATCTTCTACTTTAGATTTTGTTTCTATGTACTGGTTTTAGGAATTGTCCCTCTAGTAGTAGAGAAGGCCTAGACTCCTGTATCTAAACTGAAGCAATGAAATCCTCTAGATTTGGTACAATATCCATGATTCATCCAAGCAATCCGAAGCAGTCCAGACCAAAGAATCTGTGTTTCTTACTGCAGGTCTTCTCCTTGAGTTATCAAGTTTCCACAGAATAGATTTCATCTAGGTCTCCATTCTCAACTCTGAGCAACCTACTGTGTTACACATTGCCTCATGCCTTGGCGATGTGAACATTTCTAAGAGGCCTCAGTAACAGAAAAAAAAAGTAGTGGAAAAAACTGGTAAAGAAGACCTGGAATATAGTTCATAGTAATGTACTGATGTTGGTCTTTTTTTTTTTTTAAAAAAAAAAGGTTTCTATTTTTAGAGACATAGCTTTGCTGTCACCCAGGCTAGAGTGCAGTGGTATGATCACAGCTCACCATAGCCTTGCCCTCCTGGGCCCAAGTGGTCCTCTCGCCTCAGCCTCCTGAGCAGCTGGGACTACATGTATGTGCCACCACATACGGTTATTTTCTAAATTTTATTTTGTAAAGATGGGGTCTCACTTTGTTTCCCAGGCTGGTCTCAAACTCCTGGCTTCAATTAATCTTTACACCTCAGCCTCCCAAAGTGCTGGGATTATAGGCGTGAGCTACCATGCCTGGCTGATTTTTTAGTTTTGACTAAGGTACCAGGATAATGTAAGATGTTACTACTGGGGGTTGGGGGAGGGAGCACATCAAGAAGGATAGCTCAGGGAGGCTGGGCTCAATACCTAGATGATGGGATGATCTGTGCAGCAAACCACAATGCACAGGAAGAAAACGCACACAAACTTGCATACCCTGCACATGTACCCCTGAACTTAAAAGTCAGAAATTAATTGATGACATTATGCTGATTAGATCTAGTAAACAAAAAAAAGAAAAAAAGAAAAAAGTTAGAAATTAAAAAAAAATGTTACTATTAGGGTAAATTTTCTGTATTAACTTTGTAACTTTCCTATAAACCTAAAATTATTTAGAAAGTTTATTAAAAATAATAGAAAAACAGCAAAGACCCCACCATAAATCTACCTATCATGGTAGGAAATTGTCAGGGTGATGTCTGCCTCTCACCTGTAACTCCTCCACCTGCTTTTTGGCTGTTTCGTTAAAAAGCTTCAGCTCTTCTTTCAAAGTTTCTAAGAGTAACTAAGAGAAAAGTACAAGGTAGTAAACAAATCTTCATATAAAACCAGAGTTGCATTAGATCATGGCTAACATCCCTTCCATACAGTTCTCAGCAAAGGAGTCAGGGGAAAAATTTGGTAAAGTGTAGAACAGAGGAACCAGAAAGCTCTCTCTACATATTTACCTATTATGTGTTTCAAATTTTCAATTCAGACTCACTTATATTTGCAAGACAAAGCTACCTTTCAAGTAAAATATGCTATTTTGAGTACATGTCCCATTTTTCTTTTCTACCACCACAGATAATCAAAGGCTGTTTCTTAGGGTTTGCGGAACATATAGCAGGACCTTCTTAGGTTTACAGAGCCCCACAGTCACTCAGCCCTTGTGCCCTTTCACACCCATGCCCTCACCATAGAGTCCGTATGATCAGTAGTGGATTCTTGTTGTGATGCCAGGGTCTCACTACCTAAAGCTGATGAATACAACAAAGTCAACTTCATTTAGGGAACTATACACCTTAAACAAAAGAAAATAAAAATGCTCTGTAGACAAGTACAGGAATGTTCATGAGGGGAATTTCTCTAAGTGTCTGATCCTGAACTTTCTCCCAAGTTCACCTTGGCAGGGTCACCCACACCTGCCCTATAGAACTGTATTTTATCTCCTTTCAATCTAGGTTTGGATATGGCCAAAAACTCAGTATACTTTCTCCTTAGGTCAGTGGAAAATTTGTCCAAAGGAAATGTGTAGGTTGGACTTTTTTGTTTTGTTTACAATTCACAAAGCTATTTTAAAAAGCCTCTCAGGCCTTAACAAATTACTACTTTTGGTAACAGCGCATGCATGTAATAAATTAAAATCATGCAAAATATTTATGGTGTCGGGCGTGGTGGTACACACCTGTAGTCCCAGCTACTCGGGAGGATTGCTTGAGCCCAGGAGTTAAAGGCTAGCCTGGGCAACATGGCGAGATCCCATCTCAAAGAAATAAACAATGTTAAATTAAAAAACATATATATTTATGGTGACTATAAAGAATATCCTAGGCTGGGCATGGTGGCTCAGGTCTGTAATCCTAGCACTTTGGGTAAGCCGAGATTGTACCACTGCACTTCAGCCTGGGCAACAGAGTGAGACACCAACAAGAAGAAGAAAGAAGAAGAAAGAAGGAAGAAGGAGGAAGGAGGAAGGAAGAAGGAAGGAGGAGGAGGAAGAGGAAGAGGAGGAAGAGGAGGAAGAGGAGGAGGAGGAAGAGGAGGAGGAGGAGGAAGAAAAGAAGAAAGGAAGAAAGAAGAAGAGAAGAAAGAAGAAGAAAGAAGAAAGAAGAAAATATCCTAAACAGTAACCTAAAGATTAACAAGTACCATTCAAATTCAAAGTCAGTATTCCTTAATACAAAAAGGCCTGGGTCCCTTTCCTGGGCATTCTCTGGCTCTCTGACTCAGTCTGAGGCGCTCTTACAGTCTTTGTGCAATTCCTTCTTCTGCTCTCTTTGCTACAGATTTTTTTTTTTTTTTTTGAGATGGAGATTTCGCTCTTGTTGCTCAGGCTGGAATGAAAAGGCATGACCTCGGCTCACTGCAACCTCTGCCTCCCAGGTTCAAGCGATTCCCTCTCACTCCAGCCTACTGAGTAGCTAGGATTACAAGCATCTGCCACCCTGGCTAATTAATTTGTATTTTTATAGAGATGGGGTTTCTCCATGTTGGTGAGGCTGGTGTTGAACTTCTAACCTCAGGTGATCTTCCCACGTTGGCCGCCCAAAGTGCTGGGATTACAGGTGAGAGCCACCAAGCCCGGCCTTTGTTAGATTCTGCTCTCTGGGGCACAGGGTAAGAACAGCAGTCATATTTTAGTCACTGTGATTCTGCTGATTAACCAGGTTTAAGAAAGCTTTAAATAGTATTTTCTCTCTCTTCCCATTTGGAAAAGTTAGTAGCATGCTTGAAAGCAAGAAAATGTTCAAACAAAATGTTTCTTTCAAGCGTACTAATAACTCCCAAATGGGAAGAGACAGAAAATGCTCTCCCTTGAAAGGAACAAAATGTTTCTCATCTATTTTCAAGGCATATCTGTTGGCACTAAATGAATAGCATAAACTGTTCAGGTAAGAAAGAGATAACCCTCTCTCTACAATCATCTGAAATTCTGTTGTCCAGGCAAAAATCAACATCACATGAAAACAAACAGAAGCTCCGCAAAATATTTAGGGCTTTACTAAGTAACCCCTATACTTACTGGTCTAACTGATACCATGCTGCCAAGATCAACCCAGTAAGGGGCACATCCATCAGTTCCTTCAAAGGCAGCTAGCTGTGTGCTGTCTCTTACCTGGATCGAGGCCCTTGCTCTCCAAACTTGCCAAACAATTGTCCCGAAACTTCTCTAGCAGCTCTACCTTCTGGGTCAGGTCCTTCAGCTCTCCCTATTGGAGTACCACACAGACAGATTAGGAACTGTTTCACTCCCCAGGGGTGATCACCTTTCTTGCCCTTGCTCTTGGACAACCATGGCAAAAGCCTGGCTTTTTTCTGCTTCTTGGGCAGCTGTGCATTAACAAGTTTGCTCACCCACGGGGCCATCTATCAGGATTCCATGCCCATCGCCCAGTGGCAGCTGGTAACAGAGCTCTAGTGGGTCTCCTACCTGAGTTTCAGTCAACTTCTGGTGCAACTGCTTGTTGACAGCTTCTAAGAGCTGGTTCTTTTCCTTGAGCTCTTCCTCTGATTTTTGCTTACTTAGTGGTTTGTAGCTGTAATAATAATTATACTTACATGAAAAGATAAAAGGGTTAAGAGTATGGCCTAGGGAGTTATACAAACATGTTCTTATCCTGTGAGTTACTTAGTGGTGTATGACCTTCACTGAGTTGCATAACCTTGAGGCCCTGTTTCCTTATTTTTAGAATTAGGACAAAACCCACATCTAAAAATATTACCATTATGAATAATAAGAGAGAAAACACATGTGCATTTCTGAGCCCAGTAACTGGGCTAATATCTAATAAAATATTCTAATATTAGTCTATCATCTAATAAACTCTAATATCATCAGTATTAAGAGTTTTCTTAAACTTCTCAGTCTTTCTTGCTAGTATCTTGTCTTCAAAAATAATTTTTTTTTTGAGTCATAGTCTCGCTCTGTCACCCAGGCTGGAATGCAATGACGTGATCTCGGCTCACTGCAACATTTGCCTCCCAGCATCAAGCAATTCTCCTGCCTCTGCCTCAGCCTCCCAGTAGCTAAGATTACAGGTGGGTGCCACCATGCCCAGCTAACTGTTGTGTCTTTAGTAGAGATGGGGTCTCACCATATCTCCCCAGACTGGTCTTGAACTCTTGACCTCAGGTGATCTACCCGCCTTGGCCTCCCAAAGTGCTGAGATTACAGGCATGAGCCGCCATGCCTAGTTGTTTTCAAATCTTTTTTTTTTTTGAGACGGAGTTTCACTCTTGTTACCCAGGCTGGAGTGCAATGGCGCGATCTCGGCTCACCGCAACCTCCGCCTCCTGGGTTCTGGCAATTCTCCTGCCTCAGCCTTCTGAGTAGCTGGGATTACAGGCACGCGCCACCATGCCCAGCTAATTTTTTGTATTTTTAGTAGAGACGGGGTTTCACCATGTTGACCAGGATGGTCTCGATCTCTCGACCTCGCGATCCACCCGCCTCGGCCTCCCAAAGTGCTGGGATTACAGGCTTGAGCCACCGCGCCCGGCCTGTTTTCAAATCTTTTAAGACATGCCCAAATAATAGATCTGGAACTAAACCCTATTTGTACAGACTTTCCTCCTTATTATTTCTATTTTTGATAGCACGACACTTGCAAGCTAGTCTCTGAGAGATGAATCCTTCTCCAGGATTTCACTACCACCACTAGAATCTTCACCTCGAGATCACTAACTACATGCAGCCCTTCCTCTCCTGAAGGCTTACGCTCCTGTTGATGGGCCATAGCTAACTGTGACTTCTAGTCAGCAGGGGTCCAGGCTTGGAGTCCAAAAAGCTCTTGCCTGAGATTCAAGATAGTAGCACCACTGATTCTTGTGCTGACAATGGTTCTTACACCTAGCTGTACCTCAACCCTGAAAATTCCACTCAGGTTCCTGGGATGGAACCCAGATCCTGACATATTAAAAAAGTCCCACTAGTGATTCTGACACAGAACCAAGGATTGAGACCCACTACCCTAGAATAGTGACCAAGCTGATTTACCCTGATGCTCACCCTTTTCTGACATTCCTTCTGGTGGCAGTGTCCGTAGCTTTCATTTGCCTAAGAGGGCAGAAACAAAGAAATGAATCAGAGACTGTTAAGTGTTGTGAACAGACAGAACAAAGGGCATGAGAGTCTCAGCAAAGAACCAGAGATGAAATACAAGGAAAACAACACAGGCTTGAGAGTTCTGAGGGGATATACCTACTGTTTCAGCACAGACTACTGAAAAGGCTTATTAGTAGCAAAGGGGCACTCCCCCAACTACCCCAACAACCTGACAGAGCTGCTCCTCTCAAGGTGGCATGGCTAGGCCGGGCGCGGTGGCTCACGCCTGTAATCCTAGCACTTTGGGAGGCCAAGGTGGGTGGATCACCTGAGGTCAGGAGTTCAAGACCAGCCTGGCCATCATGGTGAAACCCCATCTTAAAAAAAAAAAAAAAAAAAAAGATGGCATGGCTATCTCATGTCAACCTCACTCACCTGGTAACTGAATGCTGGCTGGGCACACACAATACACTAGGGCTGAGCTGTGTGGTCAGACCAGCAACCTAGGATAACAACTAGTCCCCACCCACCACGACCATCCCTCAGGGTTGGTGTATGACCACAGAGCTGCCACTCACACTCTCAGAGCAAGTGATGAAACAGGAAAGAACACCTGTCATCATAACCCTGGCTGTGTCTCTTCAGAAAGATCAACAGAGTTATGGCAGAGCTCAGCAATGCTGCACTGCTCTGGACCACTGGCCAAAGGCCAATTGTTCAGGAGCCTCCCCAAAACCCTGTTTTCTAATTCTTTGTACTGAGCGATTTCTAGGAAGATGTTCTAACTGGATACTAATGATCTGTTCTCACCCATTCTCTCGTCTCAGTTTGGTGATTTTTGTAATATCATTCTCTGGACCTCCTGAATGAAGCTGTTTGGAAACATCAACTTTTTTGGAGCAAACAGGTAAGAGACTCTTAGAAGTGGCCCGAGTTTGTGTGTCTGCAAAGGAAAATGAGAGGTAAAACTTCTGGCATCATGACCCAACAGCTGCAAACCTGTAACAAACAGGGCCCCATTCTAAGTTGTCATAAATCTTTATTTTACTTTATTTTTAAAAATATTATTTATTTATGTATTTATTGAGACAGAGTCTCACTCGGTGGCCTAGGCTGGAGTACAGCAGTGCAATCTTGGCTTACTGCAACCTCTGCCTCTTGAGTTCAAGTGATTCTCCTGTCTCAACCTCCTGAATAGCTGGGACTACAGGCACGTAAAATATATTTTTTTTAATAAAATTTAAAAAATAAGGCCGGGCGCGGTGGCTCAAGCCTGTAATCCCCGCACTTTGGGAGGCCGAGGTGGGTGGATCATAAGGTCAAGAGATCGAGACCATCCTGGTCAACATGGTGAAACCCCGTCTCTACTAAAAATACAAAAAATTAGCTGGGCATGGTGGCGCATGCCTGTAATCCCAGCTACCCCGGAGGCTGAGGCAGGAGAATTGGCTGAACCCAGGAGGCAGAGGTTGCGGTGAGCCGAGATCGCGCCATTGCACTCCAGTGTGGGTAACAAGAGCGAAACTCTGTCTCCAAGAAAAAAAAAAAAAAAATAGAGACACGGTCTCACTATGTTGCCCAGCCTGGTCTTGAACTCCTGGGCTCAAGTCATCTTCCTGCCTTCGCCTCCCAGGAATAAGCCACCATGCCTGGCCAAATCTTTATTTTCATTCTGGCAAATTTTAACATGTGAAGATTGATTCAAAAGAATAAGACTTCCAGGCTAATTGGCAATAAAAATCAAAATTCTTTAAATGTGATAGTACAGAACGTTTGAAGGTAGCCAAAAGTTTCATTGAACTGAAAGGCCGGAAGCTGTAAAAGTGAACCTGGAGATGGATACCAGCAGAGAACAGGGTGGAATTAGCAGGCAAAACATGGCTGAATCCTTATAGCATCTTGTTAAGCTCCCCAAATACTCTGCACACTCTCCTAGGGCATGACTGAGCTGCTCTTTTTTAAACTGTTACCTTGTTGGTTTTTGGTATTTTTTTTTGAGACAGAGTTTTGTTCTTGTTGCTCAGGCTGGAGTGCAATGGCTCGATCTTGGCTCACTGCAACCTCTGCCTCCTAGGTTCAAGCAATTCTTCTGCCTAAGCCTCCTGAGTAGCTGGGATTACAGGCACAGGCCACCACGCCCGACCAATTTTTGTATTTTTAGTAGAGATGAAGTTTCTACATCTTGGTCAGGTTGGTCTCGAAATCAACCTCAGGTGATCTGCCCACCTCAGCCTCCCAAAGTGCTGGGATTACAGGCGTGAGCCACCACGCCAGGCTACTTTGTTGTTTTTACCAGAATGTCTTCCTAACCACTCTATCTTTGTGTCCCTATTACCTAGGAGAGTATCCAGCATATGAATAGGGGCCCAATAACTGCTTTTTTTTTTTTTTTTTTTTTTTTTTTGAGACGGAGTTTCGCTCGTTACCCAGGCTGGAGTGCAATGGCACGATCTCGGCTCACCGCAACCTCTGCCTCCTAGGTTTGGGCAATTCTCCTGTCTCAGCCTCCTGAGTAGCTGGGATTACAGGCACGAGCCACCATGCCCAGCTAATTTTTTGTATTTTTAGTAGAGACGGGGTTTCACCTTGTTGACCAAGATGGTCTCGATCTCTTCACCTCGTGATCTACCCGCCTTGGCCTCCCAAAGTGCTGGGATTACAGGCTTGAGCCACCGCGCCCGGCCCAATAACTGCTTACTGAATAAAGGAAACACTTCACAGTTTCATGAGTTGTTTCACGGACCGTGTCTAAACCATCTGTCTGGTCTCTTCCTCTTCCATGCTGCCTGCCTCTACCACCAGCCCTTTTGTTTACCCTTCTTAAGTTTAGAGGTTCCCTATTACGCATTCTAATCTGATCTTGCCAGACAACCAGAGAAATGGCCCTGCCATAACACTCTTCTTTCCCAAAGGAGAGTATTTTCCTCTATCCTTGTGCTAGTCCACCAACGACACAGTCTATCATTTGTGTTCTATAGCAAATTCAAGTAATTTATCTGGAGTTAAGCACCCCCACGCTCACATACAGGCTTTTCTGGACTTATTCTCACTTTGTTCACTGTAAAATGGCCCCCTTAAGCTTGACCTAACTTAAGAGCCAATACAATCAAATCAAATTGAAGAAATGAGGTACAAATGAGGTATTAAAGGGGTTCTTTCTGAGGTGTCTGTCTGAAGTAAAAAGTAACCTTGGAGGAATATCATCATCTCCTCTCTCAAGTATTATGGTTATAAACAATAACAAATCTACTATATGTAAAATGGAGTTAACAGTCAATTGATCAAAATTAACACTCGGGCTAGGTGTGGTGGCTGACACTTGTAATCCCAGCACTTTGGGAGGCCTAGGAGAGTGGATCACCTGAGGTTGGGAGTTCCAGACCAGCCTAAACAACATGGAGAAACCCCCATAACTACTAAAAATAGAAAATTAGCCAGATGTGGTGGCACATGCCTGTAATCCCAGCTCAGCTACTTGGGAGTCTGAGGCAGGAGAATCACTTAAACTTGGGAGGTGGAGGTTGCGGTGAGCTGAGATTGTGCCATTGTACTCCAGCCTGGGCAACAAGGGCAAAACTCCGTCTCAAAATAAATAAATAAAAATAAAATGAACATTTTTCATTGACTGGAATTGGTTCCGATAATTCTTATTTGCTAAAACCTCAGGACTGCATTGTAGGAAAAATTTAGGAGGATTTAACAAAGTTGTCTCCTAAAAATGGGAGATGCTGGGAGGGGAACTGGATGGCTGGTGTCAAGTAAAGGCAGGAAACTTGCTTATCATTGTCTATGGTTTTCCAACTTTTTTTTTTTTTAAACATGTGTATATATTACTTATTCAAAAAGCTGAAGCTTAAAAAACAAGCAGCCCATGCTCAAAGTCAAAACCAAAAAACCTGGGAGGCAGCCTAAACAACGGAAACTGTTTCAGTTACATATGATCATAAAGTTAGGACAGAGACAGAAATCAAAGAGATTAACACTTCCAGCTTGGCTGGGAGAGCCAGTCACTGCCCACTGACTGAGGGCACTGCATCTAAGGGAAAGACACAGCAGCGGAGACCTGGCTCCAGTTCTTCCAGCAACTCCTAGTCCCTGCTGGTGCAAGGATTACCATTCAGGTGTTCTGTGGCAACACAAGACAACAAACAACCCGTTAAGCCTTTGGAGAAAAGCCTATTTACTTTAGAGCTCAATCCTGCCAAGGTTTATGTACCACCAGCTAAGCGAAATCATCTGGGAAGGATCATAAATAGCTGCTCCATAATCTCCCACAACGGTTTTCTGACGTCTGAAGCTTATTCTGTACTATAATCTCTAGATTAGACAACTCCCCGACTGCGGACCCCATGATATGACTTTTGACCACAAGCAAAGCAACACAAAGCAGAAGACAAAGCAATTAAAAACTCTGTTTGTAATCACGTCTCTCTCTTCGCCCGTTTCTCAAGTATTTTGCCTAGGTCTAACCCCTCTCTCCCACTTCATTCAACAAACGTGTATTGAGAATGTGCTAATGAGAGACACGGTGCAGATATAAAGGTGAACGAAGAATCAAAGCATTCCACTTCTCAAATGACTCTCCTCTTTCCTCCCTGAAAACAAACCCAATCCCTCGATATAGCCCAACTCTGGAAATAAGACGAACAACCCGTTAGAAGGGGATTCCTAGCTTAATGGGAATAACATTGTACGATAATCAACAACTTGAATCTAATTGATGAATACAGTACATATGCGGGCAGAAAAATCAGAGCAGGTCTAAAATCCTACCACATGGCCCTTCCCGTAACTTCCATCAAAAACCTACATAGCTTGGTTACTGGGGGCTCACAGGTCGTCAGGGCCGACGGGACGCCCTCCCTCTGCCCGCACCACCCAATCAATCTCCACAATCCCGGGACCATCCCCGGCCCGGCCGCAGTGCCCCGGGCGCGGGGTGGACACTCTCACCTGCGGGCTGGCCGCCGCTCAGCGCAAAGGTGGGCTGCAGGCTATCCACTGTTTTAGACATACTGGTCATCATAACGAGGCGGCACAGCCGAGACCTGGAAGGTGCAGGGTGAATGTTACCCAGCGCTGGGCCGCTGGGCCCGAGAGAGTGGAGGGTCTGGGGATAGCGCGACCCGACAGGCCCCGGCTCGGGGTTGGAAAAGAGAAAATCCTCCTTTCCCAGCTCATTCCGTCCTTCCTCCCATCCAGCCCAGTCCCTAGCCCCGGGAGAGCCGAACCCAGGAGCCCACCGGTCCTGCCTGCAGTCCTTGTCGCTCTCGTTCAAACTATGCTCAGCAGCAACCGCCGCGTCGCAGGCCAAGTCTGCCGCCGCCTTTTCAAATGGCAACTTCCGGTAGCTGGGCGGAAGTGGGCGAGATTCACACTCTGTAGACAGTCCTCTTGTACGGAAGACTCTGTCCTCGGCTGGGGCTTCGGAAGCCGCCATGCTGCACGGAAGGTTCGCGCAGAGGCCCTAGCCTGAGCTCCCTAGCGAAAGGTGTCGGAGCCCTCAGGTCTGGGCGGAGGAGGAGGGTGATGCAGTTTGCAGGCTTGAATGGAGCTAATGAGCCACTAGAGTCATATTCCGGGATGGGGACGCAAACGTGGGCACGTTTAGTGTCCATGTCACAAGCCTCTTTATTTGGTTTGGGATTGTTAGGAATATTGCCAGGAGCACAGGTTATTTGGATGAAAATTGCACGTTACAGGTGGAGAGTGGCAGTGGCAGGTGAGGCTTGAAGACCTGTGGACTGAGATACTTGAAGCACCTCCCTGAGGTCCTAATTTTAATAGCACTGATCCAGATTTTAAATAGCGATTCAAAGGTATTCCCAATAAACAAGGTAGTTTTCATCACTAAATGCACTAGCTCATTCATTTCATCCAGCATTTATTGAGCAACTGCTGATTACCCGACACTATTCTCAGTGGGTAGGAGGGGGTGAGGGAGAGCAAATATCACGGTTGACCTTGGCTCTGCCCTCCTGGAGTTTACAACTTAGGAAACAGACAGTGAACAAATAATCACATAAATAAATATATACTTATGGATTGTGGTGAAACTGTGAAGAAAGCTGGGTGCAGTTGCTCATGCCTGTAATTTCAGCACTTTCGGAGGTGGAGGCAGGCAGATCGCTTGAGTCCAGGAGTTCCAGGCCAGCCTGGGCAACATGGTGAAACCTTGTCTCTACAAAAAATACAAAAATTAGCTGGGCATCGTAGCATACTTCCGTAGTCCCAGCTATCCTGGAGCCTGAGGTGGGAGGATCGTGTGACCCTGGGGGTGGGGGGGCGGGGGGGGGCAGGGGCAGAGTTTGCAGTGAGCCAAGATCATGCCGCTGCACTCCACCCTGGGTGACAGAGTGTGATCCTGTCTCAGAAACCAAACCAAACCAAAACATACACACATACACACACACAAACTATGATGGGAAAGTACAAAATTCTGTAAGAGAGAAAAGCAGGGAAACTTAGATTTTATTGGGGGCTTAGGGAAGACCTCTCTGAGAGGGTGGTTAATTAAAGAAAGATGAGAGGGAGTTAATCTCATTGGGGAAAGGGGGAAATGCAAAGTCCCAAGGCAGAAAAGGATGACTCCAGGCTTGAATAATAGTGTGGGTAGAGTGACCATTTTCTGCTGCGGGAGATTGAGAGTTCAGTTTTGAACTTGGAAAACCTGACATATCTTTCAGGCATTCCAGTGGGGTGGTCATGCAGGCAACTGGAAATATAGGCCTTGAGCCCAGAAGAGAGTCTGGATTGGAGATACACTCTTGGGAATTATTGACATATGGAGGTACTTAAAACCTTGATATTTAGGAGTTCGAGACCAGCCTGGCCAATGTGATGAAACCCTGTCTCTACTAAAAGTACATACACAAAAAAGTGGCTGGGCACAGTGGCTCATGCCTGTAATCCCAGCACTTTGGGAAGCTAAGGTGGGCAGATCACTTGAGGCCAGAAGTTTGAAACCAATCTGGCCCACATGGTGAAACCCTGTCTCTACTTAAAAATACAAAAATTAGCAGGGGATCCCAGTTCCTCATCAGCAACAAAACAAGGCTTGATGGAGAACGAGTGTGTTCCAATTACAGAAGCAGGCTTCAAAACGTGGATAATAAGAAACTCCTGTGAATTAAAAGAACGTATGCTAACACAATCTAAAGAAACTAAGAACTTTGAAAAAAGGTTCGACGAAATGTCAACAAGAATACAAAATTTAGAGAGGAAAATAAGTGAATTGATGGAACTGAAAAACACAATACGAGAACTAAGTGAAGTATGCACAAGTTTTAACAGCCGAATTGATCAAGCAGAAGAAAGGATATCAGAGGTCGAAGACCAACTCAATGAAATAAAACAAGAAGACAAGATTAGAGAAAAAAGGATAAAAAGGAATGAGCAAAGTCTCCAAGAAATATGGGACTATGTGAAAAGACCTAATCTACGCTTGATAGGTGTACCTGAATGTGACGAAGAGAATGAATCCAAGCTGGAAAATACGCTTCAGGATATTATTCAGGAAAATTTTCCCAACGTAGTAAGGCAGGATAATATTCAACTCCAGGTAATACAGAGAACACCACGAAGATATTCCTCAAGAAGAGCAACTCCAAGGCACATAATCGTCAGATTCACCAGGGTTGAAATGAAGGAGAAAATATTAAGGGCAGCCAGAGAGAAAGGTCAGGTTACCCACAAAGGGAAGCCTATCAGACTCACAGCAGATCTCTCAGCAGAAACCCTACAAGCCAGAAGAGAGTGGGGACCAATATTCAACATCCTTAAAGAAAAGAACTTTCAACCAAGAATTTTACATCCAGCCAAACTAAGCTTCATAAGTGAAGAAAAAATAAAGTTTTTTGTGAACAAGCAAGCACTCAGAGAATTCATCACCACCAGGCCTGCTTTACAAGAGCTTCTGAAAGAACCACTATACATAGAAAGGAACAAACAGTATCAGCCTTTCTAAAAAATACCAAAAAGTAAAAAACATCAATATAATGAAGAATTTACATCAACTAATGGGCAAAATAGCCAGCTAATATTAAATGACAGTATTAAATTCACATATATCATTATCAATTCTAAATTTAAATTGACTAAATTCCTCAATTCAAAGACAGCCAATTTGGACAAAAAACTAAAACTGTATGCTGCATCCAGACCCATCTCACATTCAAGGATACACAAAGACTCAAAACAAAGGATGGAGAGAGACTTACCAACCAACCAGAGAGCAAAAATAAATAAATAAAAAGCAGAAGTTACAATTTTTGCCTCTGATAAAATAGTATTTAAAGCAACAAAGATCAAAAGAAGCAAAGAAGGACATTATATAATGATAAAAGAATTAATGCAACAACAAGAAGAGTTAAAGGTCCTAAATATACACGCACCCAATACAGGAATACCCAGACATACGAGACTTATAAAGAGACTTAGACTCCCACACAATAATAGTGGGAGACTTCAACATTAATATTAGACAGATCAATGAGACAGAAAATTAACAACGATATCCAGGACTTGAACTCAGATCTGGAACAAGTAAACGTAATTAACATTTATAGAACTCTCCACTTTACACAAAGTATACACTCTTATCAGTACCACATCATATCAACTTGGAAGTTTAAACGAAATGTCGGTTGGCTCCTTGTTTATTATTCTCTTCCCTCATTTTCTTTCATGTCTCCATTATTAAGGACAATTATAGGCATACCTATATTTAGACTGCATTTTAGCCCGGACAGCAAAGCAATACCCGCATCCTCTCTCCCTCTTCCTCTTTCTCTTTCTTCCTCTTCTTGAAAAAAAAAAAAAAAAAAAAAAAAAAAAAAAAAGAAAAATGACTAGCTTGGCTTACTTTAAAAACGCAGTCTCTTGTTCTTTGAGTAATCTTATCAGGGTCACAAACCTTCCTTTTAGAAGTCTGGACTCCAAATTGCCTCCTTCTGCCTTGGGCAGGATGAAAGTCAACTTGTTAATCTACCGAATGCCTGGGAGGCAGCTTGTCCTGTGATCAGAGTTGGGGTATGGGGGGATTCTACCGGGTAGAAGGGTAGCCTTCTTTGTGGTTGGGAGCCCCTCCCCAAATATGACCCTTATCTGCTCCAGGCAAAATTGTTACATGCTCTTACAGATTAAAAAAAAAAATACAAAAATTAGCTGGACATGGTGGTGCATGCCTGTAATCCCAGCTACTTGGAAGGCTGAGGCAGGAGAATCACTTGAACATGGGAGGCAGAGGTTGCAGTGAGCTGAGATGGCGCCACTGCACTCCATCCTGGGTGACAGAGTGAGACTCTATCACAAACAAAATAAAAAATAAAATAAAATAAAAGCTTGATATTTGATGAGATCAAGAGAAGTGTGCAGAGAGCCTTAGGACCAAGGACAGGGACACCAACATTTAGAAGCTGCAATGATAATAAGGTACCTGCCAAGAAACCTGATAAAGAGGTGCCAGATGGGTGAGAAGAAAAAAAAAAGGGTGGTGTTTCAAAACTCAAGAAGGAGGAAGTGGCAAGCTGCTCAAGGCGGGAGTGGAGAACTATTGAAAATAGTTGAAAGGGCAAGCAGAATGAGAATGAAAAGCATCCAGTTAATTTAGCAACAAAGAAGTCATGGTGAGTCTAGCAAGAGGAAGGTTGGTGGAGTGTTTGGAGTGGGTGGCAGTCACATGGGCATGGGTTGAAGGGTATGTGGGAGATGAGGAAGCAGAGATGGCAGGTGTAACTCCATCTGAGGTGGGAGGATCATATGACCCTGGAGGGGGACAGAGACTGCAGTGAGCCGAGATCACGCCCCTGCACTCCATTCTGGGTGACAGAGTGTGATCCTGTCTTAAAAACCAAACCAAACCAAAACACACACACACACACACACACACACACACACACACACACACACTGTGAAGGAAAAGTACAAAATCCTATAAGAGAGAAAAGCAGGGAAACTTTGATTTTCCTGCTTTTAGGGGCTCAGGGAAGATCTCTCTGAGAGGGTGCTGTTACAAAAAGAGCAGAGCAACTGGGCAATAACTGGAGATGGGTTATGGGGGTCAAAGGAAGATTTCTTTAAAGCTGTGGTGTGCTGATAGGTACAAGCCAGCAAACAGAAGGAAAGGATGCTCAGGAGTAAGGAAGAAGGAATATGGGATCCAGTTAAATTCCTTTATTCATGTGCCCCAATAACCCTCTTGCCTGTTTTCATTTGATGCCCAAATTTTAAGTTTAGTTTATATATATATATATGTATATATATTTAGAGGAAGGATCTTGTCTCTACCCTGTCATGTAGGCTAGAGTGCAGTGGCTATTTACAGGTGTGATCATAGTGTACAGCAGTCTTGAACTTCTGGACTCAAGCCACCCTCCCACTTCAGCCTCCTGAGTACCCAAGACTGTAGGCATGCACCATCTCACCTGGCTTAAATTTTTT